TGTATATGAATATATATATATATGTGTATATATGTGTATATATATATGTACATTTACATATAAGGTATATATATATATATACGTGTATATATATATATATGTATGTATGTTTGTATCTATGTATGTATGTATGTATGTATATGTACATATATGTATGTATGTATGTACGTATGTATGCATGTATGTATGTATGTATATGTACATATATGTATGTATATAAGTACATATGTATATGTATATATGTATATATGTATATATGTATATATGTATATATGTATATACGTATATACATACATCTGCACACACAGGGGTGTGTGTGTGTGGCGGTTGGTGGAGGGCGAGGGCGTGTTTGGTGTGTTACTTCTGTCTACAAGTCGTGCGAGTTGCGGGGTTGCCAGGTTCGCGTTGGTTGAGGGAAAGACTCAGCTAAAGACTGAGTTACATGTACAACATCTTCAGCTGCAAAGACTAGAGCTGTTGCCAGTCAGGCTCCTGTTGAAGATGCTGGAAGAACATGTCGATGTCCAGCGCAACTACACCGCCGTGGAGGCCTTCCCCGATCGTCGCCACTAGACACGGCGCTCAGGGCACGGTGCACTTTCGGAAATCGACAAGCCTCAGCGAGGGCTGGGCACATGCAAATCTACAAATCGTATGCCGCTGGCATCCCACCTTTTGCGTGGAAGATCCGTGTCACAATGTCAAAGAAAAGCTGGCTCTCTACTCAAAGCTGCAAAAAGGATGCACAGTATCGTAGACTAGCCCTTAACCTTAACGCCCTCAGCCCGAAAGCCTAAACCCCAAACATTCCAGGGCCCGGCGAGAGCACGTCGGGCATGCATTTCGAAGAGCTGCAGGAAGGGCCTCGACCAACGTTACGATCCCCTGCTTCTGAGTCTAAGCACCCTCATGTAGGGGCCTTAATAATTAGAATAGGGTTTTGGGGTATTTTTTTTTATTATAGTTGCAGTAAGGAGCCCTCAAAATAGTGAAGGTGATAATTAAGGCACCTATATTCAGGGCCCAAGAAAAAGAAGACACCCCTTCCACCGTGCTAAGGGCGTTCCTTACAGCTTCTTCTCAGCCCATCTCTCTCTTTTTTTTTTTCTCTCTCTCTCTCTCTCGCTCCCTTTTTGCTGCGAGGCTCTCCGTCTCTTCTTCCTTTTTTCTTCACCATGGCCACGGAAGTGTTTCAATGTGAGGCAGTGGAATGCACAAGTTCACAAGGCTCGGAGTCAGGGAGAGCTGGCAGCTGCGAGTGAACATGCGACACAAAAAGCTAAAGTCGCCAGGTGCGAAAAGTTTGGCATGCGGGCTCAACGTAGGAGCCTTGATAATTAGAATAGGGTTTTGAGGTCCATTATATTATAATAATTATAATAAGGAACCCCCAAAATAGTATAGGTAATTGGTAAGGCCTCTATATTACTTTGTCTATGGTGCCCCTCCAGCGCATACAGCAGTGCTGCCGAGCAACCCTGACCTCTGGTCTCAATTAACCCTACACTCACCAAAACCCTCGAAACCCTCCAAAGCCCTAAACCCCCTAAACCCTCAACCCTCAACCTTAAACCCCTAAANNAACCCTAAACCCCTAAACCCTCCGACTTGGGAATTCTAGACCGGCTCTGGGAGGGCCGGCAGCTCTGCATCGAGCTGGAAGCAAAGGCCGCGAACCAGCAACTGCAGGCACCGGGGGCGATGACGGGGCTTTGGGCTTCGGGCTTTTTGGGGAATTTGTGGCTTAAGGCTTCGGGGGTTGGGGCTTCGAGTTCAGGGACAGGGACGGCTCACAGGCAGGGCTCAAGATGCTGAAGGTATCTTCTCCTGCAGAGGGGTGCCGAAGGGGAGGAGTGGAGGGGTGAAGCGCAATGTTCAGCACATCGTAGTGCCTGGAGTTTCGGTTTCGAGGAGTGGGGTCTCATCTAATCCTTGCAACCGCCACAGCAGGCAGATCGGCTTAGAGCTGCAACTTCGACGTCGAAGCTGAAATCTAAGCACCTGGCCATCATCCGCAGGAACAGCACTGCCTCCGGCGGCATCTTCTTGGGATAACGCTCCGTCTTTGCCTGCAGCAGGAAGTGCTGCAGCTGCTATATAGGCGTCAGGGTTTCCGGGTTTTAGTTGGGCCAATGCTGACAATAGAGTTTGCTCCTGTCCTGGGTGATTTTGATTAGCATATATATATATATGTATGTACATAACAGTAATTATATACTATAACAACAATAACAGTCATAATGCTTAAAACTATAATTGTACTTATAAATATACTTACATGTACACCTATGCATATATATATATA